AATTATAAGCTTTGTAATGAGACAAAAGTTTTAGTTTTTTCCTTGCTAATAGATATGAAACAAATATTTTTTTCAAACAAATACTTAGTGAAGTGATATGGGTTTAAACAGTGCATATATTTTTGTAGAACCAACATAGATATTATATTATATTATACTAATATAGTATTAATATTATTCCCAATATTTATTTCCAATAAAGAAACTATTTGTAATTGTCAATTTTAATTCAAAAACATTTATTAATAATTTGAGGTCAAAATATTGGATTGGAAAATATTATTTATTTATTTTATTTACGCATACTTTTAGAATTTAGCCCATTTAGCCCATATTAATCGGTGCCCACATTAGGTGGAATCCACTATTTAGTATGTACTATATAGTTATAAGGCAGAGAAGTTATAGGATTTGCATGTTTTATTCTGGGCCTCTATTTTATAGCAAACCAAGATATAAATATAAGTCATAGGCCCCACAATTGAAATCTAAAATTTTTGTTTGCATATTTTTGCATATTTTAAAGGTTTAAAAAAAAAATGCATATTTCATGCATATTCTACATAAAAACTGTATGGTATTATTATATACTGTATAGTATATATACATTGTACACCACCCGATGCCCGTTTGACTATGTACTATATTATAGGTACCTACCCGCATATTTTAGGTGGGCATTCGGATAATGTTATCGAAGATAAACATCGAAGTTTTAGAAAAAGCCAATTTTTCTACAATAACCAAACTTTTTGACAGCTCAATGTTTCTCTTGTGGCCCATCGGTGTTCGTCATGATGACGTTCTCCTATTTTTAAGTGATGCTGCGCCATACATGAAGAAAGCAGGTACAACTATCAAGGCTTTGTACTCCAAGATGGACCATATTACTTGTATAGCACACGGATTACATAGCTAGGCAGAAAATATTCGGAGTCATTTTCCTAGAGTTGATAAATTAGTAGCAAAAGGAAAGCAAGTATTTTTAAAAGCACCTTCGCGTGTTTTATTTTTTAAGACAGAAGTTCCCGGAGTCCCTCTTCCTCCCGAACCTGTACTTACACGTTGGGGTTCTTGGATTGAAGCTACTTCTTATTACTGCCAATATTTTAAGAAAGTACAAGATGTTATGCAACATTTTGATTCTAACGATGCTGTTTCTATAAAAGAATCTTAAGCCCTTCTAAATGAAATTTCAATGGAACCAACTTTTATACATTCAAATTATGGGTTTTTACCATCAACCATAACTAAATTAGAATCACAAGGAATATCATTAATACTGATTCAATAACAACAGTAATTTTCACAAAAAATAAATTGGACGAAGTTGCGGGTGACGTTGGAATGAAAGTAAAAACAAAATTTAACCAAGTTTTAGAAAAAAATGATGGGTTTGCAATAATATTAAAAATTTTAAAAATTTTAAATGGAGAAAGTTCATCGATGGATGGTTTACCAGAATACCTAACGGGAAATGATTTAACATTTTATAAATATGCACCAGTAACATCAACAGACGTCGAAAGAAGTTTTTCAAGGTACAAAACCATACTGGCTGACAATCGGCGATCATTCGAGGTAGAAAATATTTAAAATAAAATTAATTGTGCAATGCAATGATTTTTATATTTCTTTTATATCTAATTTTTTTATTTTACTAAATTATAAATTAATTTTTTTGTGCATATTATCTTGCATATTTAATGAATTTGAATGCATATTTTCAATTTTTTATGTGCATATTTTTCCAATTTTACCTCCTATAACTTCTCTGCCCTAGTTATAAGTTATAACTAACATTATTGAAAATATCAATTCCGAAATTAAATCCCAATGTGTGAGGGCGTCAAATACCCACACTATTGTTTGTGGAATGTGCGATGGTTATAAACCAGCTAGCGCACCGAGTAAATTCTGGACTATCCTAATCGGAATTGGAATTAGTAGGTATTATCGCAGCGGGTTAACGTTCAATACGTTCCCTAGTGTCCCTACACATATTCGGTTACATCTGTCACTAACATTTGGTGAGGTACGATGCATCGCAGGCGCTTTGGACCCGGTTAAAGTTGTCACCAATCCTCCCTCGAAACAGGGGGCTCACGAACAGGAGAAAAGAGACCGTGAATGTTGTTGGTAGAATGGTTGGCAGCTAAAAAAGATAGTTAAACATGAGTATCGTATGGGTAACACCCGGTGATATCGTGGGGCTGGTGATCAGAAAGGTCGTGTTAGCTGGTGTCGTCACTCGTCAATATTATCATTTATCTTATCCAGCGACACGGTAGTGTAGCGAGTTAAGTAAAAAAAAAAAATAAGAAGGCGTGGTGATCACCCAGTAACTAATTAGTAACTAATAGTAACTAATTAACCAGTAGCGTGGTTTGTTGTGTTCCATTGAATAACATAGTGAGTGACTAAACGTAAACTGGTTAGTGATTTACGTCAGTAATATCAGTTTCTAATGAATAACTCCGTGTGTAGACGACCTGCAAAAGAACTGCGATCACTGGATGGTTTCTTCCCTCACCCTATTCTTGTTTTTTTTTTTTTAATTGTTGTAGTACATATTCTTATTATTCCTTTGTGTATAGATTTTATATTCTCTAAAAAAATTTAAAAAATACAGATATAGAAATACCAGATAATGTAAAGACTAAAGAGATATTAGTGTAGCTAAATTGCATATACAAAGCGCCGTGCGACAATTTTTCACAGTGGATTATAATATACAGACATATAAATTTATTTATACGGTGGATTCCACTTAATGTGGTCACGTGGTAGTTGGGACCAAACTAATTTTTCCACATTAAGTGGTTGGCTATACAAGCCGACATAACCTTGTTAGCACTTAGCGTACATTGAAATTGGGACCAGACCATTTAGCCCATATTAATCGGTTCCCACGGTAGGTAGAATCCATTGTATGTAGTATGTACTATATAATTATAACTCATTTTAAAATTGCACTAAATATTTTTAAATTTGATTTTTATAATTGAAAAATCGACAAATTGTAATATAAAAACATGACTCTTCAATGACAAACATCGCGTTGCTGACGACTAAAGCTAGAAATAAATTCTATAAAAAAAAGAACAAATATAGTCAGATATCACGATGTTATTTGTTTCTATTGATGTACTTAACTATATAATGGATATCTAAATAAAACTATTTATTTCGATAACTATATTTGTGGCCTTTATTTTATTAATTGTTTTTCAAAAAGTAAAAATGCGCAGTATTACCCGTACTGCGATTAATGCTGTGCCAACAGCCCAAGCTAGAAGGAATTCCAAGAAATGTCTAACATGGCCATTATGGTAGCTAGGTACTAATTATTATTTAAATAAAAAATATAAAAAATCAAAAAAAGCGAGAATATTTTACAAAACTAAATTTTTATATATTATATAATAATTAAAGACATATAAATTAACATTGTTTGGAAATATGTTTTGTTCGAACTTACCATTCTTTCCACCTTCATCGTTTTACAACCAGTAGGCACGGCCACTCATAGGCCGTCAGGTGAACATCCGTGAGCTTTTACATGCCCCCTATCATTGCTGTTATCGCGTAGCACTACCCGTGGGCTCCATCTATGCAGTTTGCTGTCTTTCCATAGAACTCGAAGCGAGTGGACCTGCAACGTCCAGTGTCCGGCCATCGTCGCGGTTTGGTAACCACGTGGTTGGCGGTCTCGGCCTCATCTAGTGTTGTGCTTTAGAGCACCGTATATTATCGTATAGCTTATTATTATAGGTCGTGTCGAGCGTTTCGCCACTCACACGCCGTCATCGACTCGACTCGGCCTTTGCCACTGAGTCGCCTGCAGACCCCGCTCACGCGTTCCCAGGGCCGTGCCATTATCCCACATATATAACAGCGGCCATATCCTGACCATAATCGTAGTTAGTTGGGGCCTATGTGGGAATTAGACATCAAAATATTTTTTTGAACTCCAGTTATAATAATATTAAAGAGTCAATAATTTGATTTATTTGTTAAAGAAACTGGAACCATTTATCTATTAATGTTTGATGACACCTCTGTCTCATATAAATATATAATCCTATCATGTTTATATCGTATTACTATGTTTATGTACGTACCGTTGTCCTATACGATCTAATCAAACCACTCACAAGGCACCGGCCCAAAACCCAACCAAGGACAGCGGCCCACTGGGCCAGTCACTCCACAGTTTCTTGTAATTTACGAGTATTTAGTATTCACAGAGCGCAAGAGTTCAGCTATTCAATAAAAAACCTTGTAAAAAGTTTTCAAGCCTCACCTAAGAAATTGAACATGTAATATACATTTTTACCTAGAAAATAATTTGTACTTGTTCGTGATTTTATAATAATATTTTGAAGGGGAAAAGCATTCCTAAGTCCCTCCCTTCTCCAGATAAACATTAATTTTAAAAATATAGAACTATTATCTAAAACTTGGTTTTATTTAAAATTAGTAATCTCAAGTTCTAGTTGAAATTATTGTAAACCTCTTAAGAATCTAAAAGTATAAAAAAACTTCTTAATTTACAGACAGTTAGGTAATTAATGATAATGTTTCCTAACATCTCAAACATATAGTAAATATTCGCCAATATTTATGAATTAAGGATTTAGTTCAGGTTATTCAATAATTATTATAATAGATGATAATTAACAAGGTTATAAAAGTAAATTAAATTGTTTAAGACACATAAAATAATAAATATAATTTCTTTGATTTTAATCATAACTTTCAATGTTATAGACATGGAAATCAATCTCAATAGATTCAAAAATGTTTATAGTAGAGGTTTATTTTTATAAATGTTTAATAATTAAAGGAAGAAGTTTAAGTAATCGAAAATTAGTATAAACAACATAAAAATTCTTATGAAAAGTTGTTTAATTTATAGTAATTAACAATGAACTTTAAAAAAAAAATCATACATGATATTATGTTATAAAAATAACTTTGTTAAATTATGTTTAAATTTAAAGTTTAAGATTACGTTGAAAGTAAATTGCTTCATTGTCAGCACCACAAATAAGTTGTTGTTTTTGAATATCCAATGAGTTGATTGGCATATAAATCGGTTGTATTACATCGTTGATTGATAATCGTGTTTTTACCTTGTCCGTGTTCACCCAAAAATTTGAATATTCCAGATCTCCTAGAGTATAAATTAATTTTATTAAAATAAAATTTCAAAACTATTCATCAACACTGTAAGTCTTATGAATATAAATTCTTAGATAACCAAATTATAGATATGTGAATTTTGGATTATTAAAATATTATACATGCATTGATAGACAATCATCTTAGATTATTTGTTACATGATTGATACTCAGCCTGTCCTATCTTGTCTTGTACTTAAGGTATATTAAGGATAAACATAGACAGATCTGTGGCTAATCTGATAGATGTTTCAATATGCCACTAGACCACAACTACAGCAGCTATACACAATGTTGAAGATATTATGTATTTTCTATGCTATATTTTTAACATTTTAACAAACTCGTACTGTATAGGTTGATCTGTTTTAAGAGGGACTTTTAGACCAATAAGCTAGACAAAATTGGAAGAATTTGGTTTGATAGATTTTAATTTTGAAAACAGATTATGATTGATCAACAAGTTTACTAGGGAATGATCGAGGCGATTTTGAATATTTTTTTTTTTTTAGCTGTGATATCCAAGAATAAAAATATCGAAAAAATATGATATTTTGTATTTATATTATTCATTAGGACACTAACAATAATTGGAATATTCAAAATCACATCGATCATTCCCTAGTAAACTCGTTGATCAATCATAATCCATTTTCAAAATTAAAATCTGTCAAACCAAATTCTTCCAGTTTTGTCTAGCTTATTGGTCTAAAATTCACTTTTTTTCGTTGACTGGAGCCCCCTCTAGCCCCCTTAAGGTTTATTTTATGATGCAAAATTTAAATATATTGAAAAACATTATAACAAACAAAATTAATGTTTAGATTGGTCAAATCTACATTAGTTTTGACTTTGGACAAAACCAACTGAAGCCCCCTTAAGGGTCCCAGTGCCAGTTTTTCAAATTTTCCACAATTCTATAAAATTTGAAAATTAAATTTTATATTTTAGTTGCTACCTCAATTATAAGACTTTTCCACTAATCTACTACCCAATACTTATTTAGGGGAGGGGGGGGGGTTGATAGGGTGTTTTATATCAAAACAAATGACTTTACTGGAATAACTCTCAAGCTTTGTAGGATTTTTAAGACTATTTTTTTATCTGAAAGAAGAAGACTTCCTACAGCCCGCATCAATCTCTGACTTTATATTTTAATTCAAATAATTGTATTAAAAAATAAAGAATTAAAAAATTGTAGTAAAAAATGCTTTTTATCTTATATTTTTTATTAGAAAGTTTGAGAATAAAATATTAAAAAACAGAGATTGATGCGGACTGTAGAATATTTCCTTCTAGCAATTAAAAAAAAAATTGAAATGAAATTTGATTGATTCTACAAGGCGGTACCGTTATACCCGAAAAGGGTATTTTTGAGGACAAAATGGCATCGGCACCGGGCGCCTTAACTTAAACATAAATAATTAATAACAAATAAATACTTTGTTTTTAAATATTACGATTGAGTCAGCATTACTCAATTTAAATCTCATAAAAAATTATAATATTATATAATATATTAGGTATGTATTGTAAAAGTTATTTTACTGCCCCATTTACTTTATTATTTGTATACAAATCAATATACCTGGGTCAACATGACACATATATGATTTTTTAGAACTCCATTGTAGTAATCTTCCTCCGAATGAACATGTAAATAAATGGTCTGGTTCTAAAGGGTGAAATGCTATTTCGGTAAGTGATGATGTGTCACCACTATTCATAGTTGTTAATAAGCTATTGGTTCTCATGTCCCAAACACCAACATCTCCTTCTTCAGAACCGGTAAAAATGAAATGTTTTTGACTAGGGTGTTGAGCAACACATGTTATTGGCACTTGCGTCTGAAATTCAGATGTGTAAAATATAAATAAAATATTTTGTGCCAAATACAACATGGTAAATATTATTAATATTACCTGAGTGAAATTATTGATATTGGCCGTTATACTACTTTTAGCAACTCGTAAATCCCAAAGTTTCATTTGACTTAATGCATTGCAGCAGAGAACTTCAGTATCAGTTAAGAAACAAATGCATGTTAAAGGTGAGCTACTTATTCCTTCTAGATAATCAAACATCCATATTATATGTAAATATTTGTCAACAATTTAAATTTTTAAAAACATTTTAAGAGAATATAACAGTTTGAATCCACATCCAACAAAAAAATATTTAGTTACTTACCTAGAACTTGATGAATTTGTTTAGTGTTCAATGATATAACATTAAGTTTATAATCATCACCAATGGTTGCTAATGAAAAGTTGCATACAGCAAGATCCTTGCAAGAGCATCTCCGCCCTTTACTGTAAATAATAATTTATATAAACTGAGTCTTACTAAACTAAGTATAAATTGAATCACATCATTAATTCATAGGTACCTATCATTTTTTTAAATAAATATTTTGGAAATGACAACCTTTAAATACAATTTCATTATTTAATCAATATAGTTTAATATAATATGCATAGGCGTGCGCAGGGGGTATGCAGGGTATGCAGCTGCATACCCTAAAGCTCTTTGAGGGGTGAAATTCGACTCTGGAAAATTTTTTTGCTCCAGAAAAATAATTAGTACGTATATTAAAATATTTATGATGATAACAATATATGATTAAATACGAGGGAAATGATATCAGACTAACGGCAGGGATAACATTTGATTCACGTATAGAATGATAATGAGGTGATTGCAATGCTAACCACCGTCTGACGTATGGACATACCACTGCCTATGGCAGTGCTATTAGCAAATTAAACATCCAGTTATCGGTTATCAACTACCAAGCATTTGGAAAATGTATACTTTTTGTATTTGTCATAGTATTTGTTACAATATCGATCGGTCAATACAGAAAAGCTCAAACCTATAGTAAAGTAATTATTTGAAATCCCGGAGACATCAATGATGTTTTAAAAAACGCTACCCAACAAAGAATGGCGTTATGATAAATTATAATTTTTATTTATAAGACAACATTTTATTTTTTGTTTTTACAAGTTGTATGATTATAATATATAATTTTTTTAATTAAACATTAAGATATTTCAATATTTACGTATTGTGTATATTTTATCAAAATTTTAAATGTTTAAAATAACTTTTAGGGGGCGCCGGAGGCAGCCTTCTGCATACCCTGAAAAAGAGGCCTATGCACGCCTATGATAATATGTATAAATGTTTATTGTCAAAATACCGAAGTGAAATTAAATTTAAATCTTACCCCAATGAATGTAGATTGTCCCAAGCCATGACTTCTTCAAGATGAATGTTAGAGTCTTCATTCTCACCAATGACGCGATATACTTTAACTGATCCATTTTCTGTACTAACAGCTACAAATTTGTTATCTAAAAACTTGAAATAATAATAAATATTATTTAGTTTTTAAAAACTGTATGGTGTTTATTGTTATAAAATAAATAAACTCTAACTTATAAACATCTATCAACAAGTAATAAGTAGATTATTAAATTTGTAGTTGTCATTATATCAAATAAATAGCAAAATAAAATAAGAGTAAACATCAGCGACTGATGGAATAAGAATATTTATCCTATCAAAAACTCGACCAATCTACACATTACCGATTGACCGTGTACTATACTATGGTAAACGAGAACAACTTATAATATTATGCATACTCTAATTTGTGTAACATTTCCGTTTTGTTGTACAGAATCCAAAAGTTTTGGAGGGAAATCTTTGGCAGAATTTTCGTCTTCCGATGTCAGTCCCCACAATTCTATTACGTTGTCCTATAACGGTAAAAATAATAATGAAACGCTCACATATTACACGATAATCAATTAATCTCACATCTTCGTTGTCCCACGAACCGGTGACAAACATTGTGGATGCCATCAGGTCGTCTGGCTTCCATCTCACTCTGTTCACCTTTCTGCCGATAAATTCTGCAAATATGCCCGTGTTACTCATGGTCCTTGTCCAACGCACTCGACCCGGGTTTCCTAAAGTTCCTGGAGGGTTGTAAGAAAACTCTTTGCAACAATCCTGTACGAGTATACGAATATTGTGCCGAATTACCAAAATATGTTTCAGTTTAGTTTTTGAATATTAAATCGAGATACGAGATACGATAAATTTCTTCCGGACCAAATGAAGTTAGCATCGTAAGTCGTAAATGATAAGATATTAAGAGGCTAAAAAGTTAAGACCACGATGTAGATAAAACCGAAAGTGATAAGCACTTAATAATAAACCCTCAAGTCGTAGCGTAGATGTATAAATTATTTATGTCTACGAGTCGTAGCGACTACATTGTCAACATTATGACTTATGAGAATATCGTAATTAATTTAGCCTAATCCTAAGACGTTGTTCATTTTTATTTCTTTTTAACCAAATTTGAAACTTGACTGCAGTATGGGCATTGAAAAAGCTAGTATGTATATTATATTTATTTAACTTTATTCATTTTGTTCAATATATCTATATTAATTGAAATGTATACAATTTATTTGTAACTTAGATAAATCAAAAAATCGAAGAGCATTTTTAAAATGGAAGAAAGGTTTGTCACTTCTTTTTCAAAATTACTGAAATATTTTAAGTTAAGACTTATTGTATGATGGTGTATTCCTATTACACATGTCGCTACTACCTGCAGGCGCGGATACAAGGGATGGTATATGGGGGCCATAGCCCACTCACCATTAGCCCTTAGGTACTTAAAAATATTTCCCCTTTTTCCTACATAATTATATAACATATTATGCAATAAAAAATAATTTTGTTATTATTATTATTTTATAATATACATGTACCCATCATGAATATTTTATTCTCTATAAAAACTTTAACTTAATGCCTATGCTTTTATGTACTTAAAGTAAATTTGTTCGTCTAGTCCCTCCCTTTTTTTTCATTTTTTAGATCCGCGCCTACTCTGCTTACTACCTACCTATTAAAATAATTGTTACAAATAAACAGTAGTACATTTTTTTTCATTTGACAATTAATAGGAAAAAAATTAGAATCAATAAAAACAGCAAATGTTCAAAAAGCTGCACATAAAAAACCTGAGAAAATAACCGAACCACTTCCATTATCCCAGACTTTGGCTGAATTTGTAAAAAAAACCGAATCAATGCAAGCCGGATTTGTTGAAGTGGAAGATGTTGAAGAAGAGACAGGTTATAAAAATGTTGTGAAATTGGATAATAAGACCTTTAAAGATGAATTCAGAAAAGTATTGTATTTTTATTCAAATTACATGTTATGTTTTAATGATTATTAAATTCAGTCATTAACTGTTTAGGTGGTTAATGCTGCTGATGTTGTTTTAGAGGTAGTTGATGCTCGTGATCCATTAGGCACCAGATGTAAACGAGTGACCGAATCAGCCCAAGACTTGGGAAAAAAACTTGTTGTAGTATTAAATAAAACAGACTTGGTCCCAGCTGAAATAGTCCGTGATTGGCTGTCATATTTTAGAGGGCAATTAGGAACCCCGGCAGTACCATTTAAAGCTAGTACTCAACAAGCGGGTTCACGAATTGGTCATAGAAAAATGAACAAGTGTAAAAAAGATACAGAAAAAGCTATAAGCCTGTGTGTTGGTGCAGAATTAGTTATGACACTTTTAGCCAATTACTGTCGTAGTGACAAAATGAAGACATCAATTGTTGTAGGTGTTGTAGGTAAAGAAAATAATAACATTTATTCTAAATTATAGTTAAAGTTGTTAATCATCATAATATATGTGTATTTCTTTTGTTCAAACTTAATGTTATAATATTAAACATAAAAACATGTTTTAGGTATGCCTAATGTTGGTAAAAGTAGTTTGATTAACAGTTTGAAAAGGTCCAGAGCGTGTCAAGTTGGAGCTGTCCCTGGTGTAACCAAGTATTATAATTTTATATTAATTTCACTATACCTAAGCAATAATTTAGCATTATTTTTTGGTATTTTATTCAAAATGTACAATGTATACAAAATAATTTAACTATTAGGTAATGATTAGTATGAAACAAAATATTGCTATTTGCTTGTATATATTTAATGGATTGTTTAAATTTCTGACTAAACTAACTGATTTAATAATTCAATTTTAGAAACATGCAAGAGATTCAGTTGGATAAACATATTAAACTATTGGATTGCCCAGGTGTAGTTTTAGACAAAACATCTACTACCCATAGCGTAGGATTAAAAAATGTTGTAAGTTCTGGAAATATTGAAGATCCTATTGCTTGTGCTGCTACAATTGTGGGACGTGTAACTAAAGATCAGGTACATAATTTTATATTTATGTAAACTAGTTACTGTGTAATGAGTGTGATTCTAATTACAAATTAAAAATATTATTGAACTTATAATCATTACTTAGTCGTTTTACCTGATGTTAAATTCTGAGAAATCAAAGGTTATTTGTTTCAACTAGTTTTGGAACACGGATTGCTTCTCTCGTGGCATAGAATATCGGGTATTTCTCTAATAATTAAAAAAAAAGATACTTAAGCCTGATAAATAGTTCTACAAAACTACATTTAAATGAATTTGTATAAGTTATACTAAATTATAGTTTGACTAGTCGAATGAAAATTATTTCATCCCTATTTATTATTTTATTCCCTATCACAATATTGTATTCAAAAACATTCTGTTTTTTAATAGATGCAAAAGCTATATGGAATTGGACAATATGATTCATGTGAACACTTTTTATATTTAAAAGCTAGACGGTTTGGAAACATCGGCCGTGGAGGAATTCCTGATATATTTACATCAGCTCGTAGCTTGGTTGAAGATTGGAATCGGTATGTACAGTCAAACTTGCAGGTTTACTCGAATTGTTTCCTCATTTTTTTTTTTCAGTCCATAGACTTTCCTATTATTGTATTATCCTTTGATAACTAACTTTTTAGATAGTTGCTTGAACTTCAAGTTCACCATATGCGACTGTATTGAAATGCTTAAATAGAGTAATAATAATAATAAACATTTTATTTTAGAGGCAAAATAAGGTATCACACTCTTCCACCAGAAATTGAAGCAGTCCACTTAAGTGCTCAAATTGTTACAAATGTAACAGATGTATTTAATTTGGATAATGTGCAACGAATAGAAACAGAATTCATGGAAGAACTTGCCAAGCTACAACCGGAATCAACCGGTGAAGCAGTGAAAACAGATACAATGGATGTAGATGGTAAATCAATGGTAGTAGTTGATGATGGCGTACAGACAAAAAAATCTGGAAAATTACGATGGAGGAAAAAGAAGAAATCTGAGCCTATGGAAACGAAAATTGTTTTACAGCCTGGTATTTTAAAACTAAAAAAATTACAAAAGGCCAATGCTAAGAAACAACGAAAGACAGCATCTAGATTGATTAAATGTGAAAAATTATTAGATAATATTGATTTACTGTAGAATCTAAATGTTATCAAATTTAATTTGCATTAAATATATAAGTATATTATCTAATTAATTATGTTTTATAGTATAAATAGAACTTTAAAAGGAAAGGAGAACCTCAAACTCAAAAATTCTTTCTTGCCCCTTATTACCTTCTGGTAAGATCCCCCACCTTTAAAATAGCTTTTTCGTGGACCAGCTAAATAAAACTACATACGTCATTGGGTACTTATGATTCATAGCTGATAACTCAATCATTTTGGCTTTAAATAAAGACACCCAAATAGTATCCCAATGGTCACAAAATCATCCTTCATCACCTTTTTACAAAGCCTGTGAGATTATCCGTCTCACTTGATATTAACTTAATCCCCACTACCAAGCAGAGGCCTCATTTGGTGGTGCCAAGATGGGTATTTACTCCTGTCTGATTTTAAAAACAGCCCAATTGCCTGGCCGGTTCCCAGTGGTTTTCGATTATCCATTATTATATTATATTAGAGCCAATGCCTATATTTATGGAAAAATATTATATTTTGTAGGTACTAAGAATTTATTGTCACAATGATAAATTGTTAATCAGTAATTAATTGTTGGAATATATTTATATTTGGACGTGCCTGAAAGTTGGTATGTATGTGTTTTATGAAGGAAAAGGAACAGGAGCGGTTGTTTTTTAAGTTACCTACTCATTTTGGCTGTTGAAAACTTTTAACCCTCCCTCTATTAAAACTGAAATTACGCCATTGCTACCATGACAAATAATCTCTCGGTTTGCCAAGACTTGCCAGTCAATTGTCTCTGCTCTTTGATTAATCAAAAATAATAATCTCCACTATGTCTTAAAAATCCAGAACTCTCCCAATCAACGAATTCATTCTACATCGTTTTACATTACTATTTAAGATAGTATCTTTAATCGTGCTTTTCATTCAAAGTTCATCCATCATAAAAATCCACTCCCAAACTCATTTATTCTCGTCAAAATGTACTCAATTCAAATTACTTACTGTACTTATTTCAGTTATGTGTGAATAGATCACGATTAAAGATAGCATTTTTGTTGATTTTTTTTTTTGAAACATACGTATTACACCGTTAAGAATGAGGGTACAAAAAAAAATTGCTGAAATCGTTAAGTATTTTGGAAGTTATATTCTTCCAAAGTTTGCGATTTTACGCATACGCACAACACTATATTTTACTGCCGCGCACGGCGCTTATAACGAATTTTGATTTTTTTCTTACGTTCTTATGTAGTTATAACTTTACAAGCATTGCTGAAAACGATGGTGAAGTCGGAGTGAGTCGGACTTAGTTTTAAAGTTATATAGCTAATTGAAATGTATAGTATTTTCATATACACTCCGATTTCGTCACTCATCACTCATGTCTCATTCGCTCGGACAATTAGATTCGAAAACATCAATCGACTTGTTATGTAAAACCACCTTAGGTGGGTCTCGGAGTTAAACCATTAAAACCACATATACACCTCACTCACTCGCTGCTGTCGCTCAGTTATAGCTAATTTAAATATATAGTATTTTCATATACACCCAGCTTGTTCCGTAAAACCACGTTGCGACGTTGGGTAGTTGGGCTTGGGTGGGTCTTAGATTGCAAATAACTAAAACTAAGTCCGACTGTCCAATTCTAACTACACCATCGTTTTCAGAATGCCCAACTACATAGGGAGGTAGGTACGAAAAAAAAATAATCTAAATTCGTTATCGGCGCTGCGTGCACATAGGCTAAGCACACCCCCCCCCAACTTCGCCGTAGCCCCTCAAAAACCTAGGACATACAATTTTAATATGGTATATTGCAATGGTCTGCTTGCCTTTGAAATATTCAGCCCCCCCCCCCAAGTCAAAAGTTGAAATTTCGCCTATGTGCGTGCAGCAGTTAAATAGGTACCTACTGTAGTGTTGTGCGTATGCGTATAAACTTAAACTCACTAAATTTGGAAGAATATAACTTCCAAAATAATGATTTCCGAAAATTTTTTTTCACCAGCGTTCTTAACTTGTTCAAATAAGTATGTTTCGGGAAAAAAATTCAAAAAAAATATTAGGTACCTAAGTGAATTTCTGACAATTTGACAACTAAAAACATGAATACCTACATGAGATAGAGTATCATACAGGCACGGCACTAGAATTTTTTTCCAGGGGGGGCAGAGTGGGGCAAATATTTTTTTTACATGGGCTAAAATTGTTTCAACAAATGCTGAGGTTATTTAAATGAAATATAAATATTTTCGTATCATATAACATAATATAGCTATTAGCTATATAGTACATACGTTTTATATTGTATGCTCTAAACGTCTAAGCATATAATATTTACAAACTTTTGAATAGTTAAAAATGTTTTAAGAATAATATCAAATATTTTTTTTGTACTCTATGTAATATGTAAGAAAATGTTTAATCACAGACCTTTAACAACTATATTCATAATGATAACATGATATACAAAAATAATAATTTCTTTATGAGCTAAATATTGATTTTTTATACAATATCTGTTTATGCACCATACAGTAAATGATTGAAAATCTTATAATATTGAAAAAGTTAACAAAAATGTATACAATTGCACTGATATCAGTAGGAATACAATTTGTTTTAAATAAAAACTTTTGATTACCTACCTTATATTTAACTAGTACATTTTAAATTTTTAATTCAATACATTTTTAAATTGGTATTTGAATAGTAGTGTATGTATTGACTATTGAAGTACCTACTTTATATTTTTTGTTAAATAAATAGAGGTTAAAATAGTTCATATATATATACATTAAAACATAGATACTTTAAGAAATCCTTTTTTATTAATTATCAAGTAATATGTGAACTAATTACCATGACAAATAAGATTATAAAAATAACAAAATAATAAAATTGAATAAATTATTTAGGTAATTATTTTAAATAAGAAATTTGTCATGCTAATTACTAAACTAATATAAGTAGGTAGATACGAATACCAACTCCTTACACAATAGTATTGTGTTAATCAAACATAAACATTAAACATATTTAAAATAATAAGTCAACTAAAAATATTTTTAACTGTATACAACAAACATTAATTATATCGTACATTTTTCAGTGGGAGGGCTGGCGAGGGGGCTGATCTGTTTTCTGGGGGGGCTAGAGCCCCACCTTGCCCCCCCTTGGCGCCGTGCCTGGTATCATATAGGTAGGTTCAGGAAATTCCAACTTTCAAGGGCACACCGCGGTGACAAAGACATATTCAGTTATATATTTTATACTCATATACGTACTTACTAACTACGATATACCTACTCAATAAAATAAAATGCAACCTTACAATTAGGTCTATGAATAAAACATAATATAATAATGCTCGAACAAAGTGATATAGACAGTTGTTGTTGAATATGATGATAACTGGTTTAGTGTCAATGCCCATATTGGTTTTGTAAGTAATTATTTTAAGCCACTGCAAACTTTTATATAACACAAATACACAATATGTATTTATGTATTAGGTTTAAGTATATTGTAGAAGTCTGTGGTTATATTACCGGAAATATAGTATGGTAGGTCGTAGGTAGGTACTAACTACGTCTACAGTGTTAGTAAGGTCTTCTCAGTTTTCATCTTCATGATTTGTCACCGACTGCCCATAAAGTTTACAGTTTAGACACAATATTACACCTACAGGTACTCAGGGTTGTTATGTTTAAAACCTGAATTTAAAACATTTGTTTTAAACGTTTTGTTCATTGTTTAAAACGAATAAAAGATATGTTTAAAACAGTGTAAAATTCAACTGAATATTGGGTTTTTTTTTTGGTTTATCATTAATAATAAATTTTAATAAGGGAAATCATCCAGAAAAAAAGTCAAAGTATTAAAATAATTATATATATATTACCATCCTTTATTTTAATTTTATTGAATAAATTACCAAATTTAAAATGTTTTTATTTAATAGTTAATATAATCATAATACAATGTCCACATAAAACATCCATTCAGAAAATATTTAAAACACTTGTAAGATTTAAAATAAGTAATAAATAAACAGTGAAACGACTGAAACGTAATATTATGCTATATAGTACACGGCATATAAGCGTATAAGTAAATTACTTATTAAATTTAAATTAAATTAAAAAATACACAAACTCTGAACCTACAAATATAATATTACACCCAAGTACACAACACGCGTATTAAACTATAAGTATAAAACTATAAACAGGTAGCCAGGTAGGTATTCAATATATTTTATTCCAGGCGAAGCGTTACGATACCTTTTTAATTTTTAGAGCATATTAATAATTATATTTAAATAAACTTCCTGAGTTCTTAGTCTATAAATTAGTTATGTATTAGATATGTCTCTTGTCTCTATCATTTTTAGTGCGAAGTTAATTTTTTTATTTAAATATACGTATTCAATATGTTTACAAAATAAAAACAATAAGTAGGTACCTATAATAAAGATAACATTATAGAAAAATATAGGTATACAATGGGTTTAATAAATAGTTATGTGATTTGTTAATTTTGAATGGAAACTTTGAAACTCTTTGCAAGCTCGTTTACTGTTTGTAATTTTAGATCATTGTGGAGGGCTGCATTTATTATGTACCACGGAGCACCGGAAATAAGTCTTAGGGCAATTTTCTGGAAGGCTTGAATAGGGTGAATGTTTGTGGGTTTTGCAGGGACCCAAATTTGGATGCCGTATGACCATGATGATTAGGTACTTTGTATATAAGTAGTATGTGAAGTTAGGTAGGTAATTAACAATATTATATTATTATCCCAAAAAATTAGATTAGGTTTAATACTTTAACGCAATGTTCGTATCTATTTTATTAGTTTTAGTTATTAGTTATAGTTAAACGTAGAAATGTAGAATATATAATCTAAGTTTCATATTTTTGTATGCTTGGAATGAATATAAAAAAATCCCGTTTTTCCTTAATATTTCTTTGGTTTTTCTTGGCGCTTTTGAAAATTACTGGGTATTTTAAATTTTGACCTCCCAATGCACCAACGATATTCACTTTCCAATCGAACAAGATACTGAAGTTGAAAATCGAAGCATTATTTTGATTACTTATCGTGTACAAAAATAAAAAAAGACACATCGTTGTAAAATTAATACATTCATCGTTTCACTTAGAATCTAAAATAAAATTTGTGTGCTCAATTTTTAGGACACTATTTTAGATATTTTTAGAAAGTCTTTAGAGATTTTATTATATCTGAGCCATTTTTCTTTTTTAAAGCATTATAATTTACGCCTACTTGAAGTAGGTACCTACATACTATAAATTTTAAATTACTGTCACGCCGGACACATATATATACAAGACTTTATTGGCTCGGACTTTTTATGCTTAGGACTTATCTATTGTGGAATTCTTATGCCTCAGACTTTTTCGTTGTAACTATGTCATAATATACTCATAAGACATAATATGTGACACATAAATTGACTATGCATACGGACATAGGTAAGGTATAAAAATTGTAAGTCGTAAGCATGCATATGTGTAAGTAGATAGGTACACAATATACATAATATTATTATAATTAATTCATGAGTGATGAGTGTAAAGTTGTAAAGTTGTAGGTAAACAAACGAATTAATGCTGCATCAGACATCAGCTGTTCTGCCATCAGCTGTGGCGGTACCTCGCGGAAGGTGTAATGCTTCGTTTACATTGTAAATTTGTAAACATTACCTACCATTGGCGTAGCCCCCCCCCACCACGAAATGCTAAGAAAATTTAAAAATAATTTTAATGGTCTATGATAGTCGCTCAAAAAGCCTTAAATTGTATTTAAAATATTTAAAAATGTACCATATAAGTATTAACACTTTTCAGCTACCTATCTGTGCTAGTACGTATTTAATGTGTAAAAGTGTAAAAGTTGATCAGCCCCCCCCCAAAAAAAAAAAATTATTTCCATATACGCCACTGGTGCTTTACATAATTATAAATTATAACTGCATGTTACATCGTTATAAGTTCTATATTGTCGTTCTATGTTATCAGTTAATCGAGTCGTAAAGATGTAAAGTAGTCTACTAGTAGTCTCAGTACTCACCATAGAATATAGATAGTACTCACTGACCAGTGTTTCTCAGTCGTCACGGACTACAAACCTTGGCTTGACGGTCGACCAATGACCGAATAAATGTTAATGGACGTCGGACGACGTTCACTCGAGATTTCCTTTCGTGGCTGACGCTATTAGATATTTAGGGATCATTAGCCGCCGTGACGCCGATCTCAAATGAATTCACCAGAAGGAGCCTCTGCGGCCGGGATGCCGTCTAAGATTTCGTTGGATTCGCTTCCCATCGAGGTAAACGCGTCATGGACGAGGAGAAACCGTCCGAATTGTGTGTCTATTTTCTTTATGTCGAGGGCCGAATTTGACAAATTGTACGAATTAAGTGGGTACTTTACTGGATGTGTAGGGAGGACGTGATTGAGAGAATTGAAATGTGCTGGGATTTTGATTGTAAAGTGTTCCAGTATAAGACTACGGACGTTTCATAATCATATTGATACAGGTAGATCAACAGTGTCTCATTAGAAACATCTGAGGATGGTGTGCCACGCTCTTGGTCTTCTTGTACAGTTGTACAAGTCGTATATCCATGCCTACTAAACATTATTCCGATTCCCGACACAAACGTTGGTGTTAGATAATGAGTGCATTAATTAAAAAATTTAACCATAACATCTACATTATTATAGTTGTTTGACTGTTGGTCCTTCCAGAGGCTCTGCACTGTAACAAACTGTAGAGCCGCTTCAGTGCTGTAAATCAATAATTCACTCAAATTGAAATTTTTACCCCTTAGATATTCCTAATGATTTGTGAACATATTGACGCTGACACACTGGTTAGGTCGTTAATGTATGTCAACAAACAGTTCTACGACATAATCAATAACTACTACCTATGGAAGAAAAGAGGCATGCGTACAACTAACGATTGCGAAGTAGCTTTCATGTGGGCAATGAATTATGAAGGTGAGGCTAGGCGGCCGTCAATGTGTATTGGTGTGGAAAATACATTTTGGTGTTTCTTGTTTGTTTCCATTTCACAGAAGACACATTTAATTGGAAGCAATTTGTCTGGCACACAGAATTGGAAGACAGTTGTTGGAGCGAATATGAGACAAAAACCACTACTACTGTTTTTAGTGGAGCTCATTTTTCGGAAGTGGATGCCGTTCTTATGGCTAAAGTAAATATTTTAAGATAACAAAACTATTTTAAATTTAAATCACTTATCAATAATATTTTCAGGATGGTAATTATTGTATTTCTGCATCAAGAGATCGTTCTATATGTTTGTGGAACACAATGGATACAGTACGGAACCCTGTGGTACACAAAGTAGACAGCCATTTAGGATGGGTATGGGATTTAGGAATTTATGATGATGATCATTTTTTATCATGTTCTTGGGATTCAAAAGTCAAATTATGGAATACGAGCAACTTCACGCCTTCTTCACAACCAATACACACATTTAGGTAATTTCAATTTAAAACACATTTGTATTTGCTTTAAGAATAATATAATTATAAATACTATTGATTTTTGTGTAGTACTGACGCAGCTGTGTTGTCAATTACAAGCAAAGAAAATTTTATTGCTGCCGGATTATATTGTCCTAAGATTATTGCATTTGATCCTCGGGAACCTGAAAAACGACTATTTGAACTACTACATTCTCATTCACGTAGTATTATTGACTTATGCTTAATAGAAGATTATTATTTGATATCACTGAGTGAAGACCAAACTGTATCTGTTTATGATTTGCGTAAAAATAAACAAGTCAAATCTATGCTCCTCTCTAATGAAGTAAAAAAAAAACTCATTCTAAAAATGTTACTAATATTATTATTTTTATATTTTTTACTTTTTTGGTGCAGATCAATAGATTTCCAATGTGTGCTTCTTACTATGACAATATACTATTTATTGGCGATAATCGAGATTGTATGTACTGGTTAGACTGTTCACATGGGAAGTTTGATGTTATTCAGGTAGGTTTTTGTGTATTAATTCAAAGTATAAATAATTACCTTGGTGACATTTTTCTAGGTTGTGAGTCTTGCAAAGCCTATAAATGATTACGTCCGAAACTACAAGCTTAATTGCATTAAATGTACTAATTACGGTAGTATTATGACTGGGGGAAATGAAGGAGTTGTTTACATTTTAACTCCAACAAATCCTCCAAAAATAATAGCCAAACTACAAAATTCCGGTTCAGAAATAACTTCAGTAAGTAGATCTTAGAATTATAATGAGGATATTTATACTTAGAACATGTATTTAATTTTTAGATTGACTATCAAAATGATACTTTAGTTGTTGGATATGTCAGTAGCGATGTTCAAGTATGGAAAAAAAAATAGCTATATCTGTGATATTCAAATATATTTCACTGCCCTTAATTCTCATTATTATAAATTATAATACAAAATTGTAAATATTAATTGTTTTTCATGAATAATTTAATAATGCAGAATATTGTTCAAAATATTATAATTTATATCGAACACTCAACTCAGCATACATTTTATAAATACTACGGTTAAAAGACGGTTATTTCTTTTTCTTTTTTTTACCACTTTTATACATTATACTATGTTTATTGTTTAACTTATAAGTAACACTTTTTTCATCTAATCCTAAAAATAATAAAAAATTACCTGACCTTATTTAAACTAAAACAACAATGTGGCAATTTTATTTTACATGATCTACTAATTTGTAATAATTTTTAGTAACTTTTTATATAATATTCTTGTTCCTTTGGATTATGACTTCTAGACTCTTAATAAGTATTAATAATTAATATTAATATCCTATTTGATATTATTAACAAACAATATAACATTTATTTTTCAGTACTTTAATTCAATAAATAACTATATAAGCATTATTATTTATATTTATATTAATATATTAATTATTATACTTTTAAATGATTTAATTTATTCAAATACATTACCATGACAATACATTGTAACACTTGTTTTCTAAAATTATAAATGATTAATATATTTTAACTATATGTGTATAATACCCTTTATATTGTAAAGATAATATAAAATAATATATATTTATAAATTTACTATTTAGTATTTGAAATTGTTTAATACCACCAATAAAATGTTTGTTTTATTTAGTCATTCAATCCTGTGCAAATTTAGTACCCACACATGTGTTCTTAGTGAACATGTCATTATTTTACAATTTAAAAATATGAGCATATGACCAAATGTCCTTATTAAGATTAATATTTCAGCTGTAGTAATTTACATTTGAGAAGATATAATATAATGTATTTAATAAATATACTAAATTATCGGAGGTCAAACTTTTCTGAAGTAATGCAGGCTTATTAATTAGTATGTAGAGAGCCGTGACTAAATTACAATACAATAGTATTATATTTGATTTAAGATGTAAATAGTAAAATATCTTTTGATAGATTGATCAGTTATTAATAATTAAACTATTTATCTAAGACTATTTAAATGAATTATTATTTGTACTATAAAACTGAATAACTTGAACAATGTTTTACTCTTTTCAATATTGGAAGGACCTCAATCTCCAGTAATTAACTAATTTTCTCCAAGATTGTTAGACCCTTAAAATGTAGTAGGTGACAACATGGTACAACCTAATGCCCTGCAGTTCCATGCTACTAAGGTTCTTTATTAATTTAATTTCAATAATTTGAGAACAGATATTATTATAATTTATAAATCTATTTAACAAGAAACATATTTATTATAGTGAAATACACAATTATATAAAAATATGCTAATGATTTTATAATAAATAAGATTAAATAGTCTTGAAAGTCATATATTATAATTGTTTACATAAGATCAACTGATTTTGTAACTTAAATATTATGTAAAATTACAACAGGCCTTTACATTCAACAAAATTAACTCATAATAGCGAATAATTAATTAATTTATCTAATTTAGTAATAAAATAATAACATTTTGTTTAAAAAAGAAATACAATAATTACAATGTAGGTAATTTACAAAAAAACATCAGACTAGAAACTGATTTCATTATGATGTTAATCAATAGTGAATGATAATTAGTAAAATGTTAAGTAAATTCCAAAATACTTGTTTCCCAAAATGATGGTCATGTTTATAAGGAAAAAGGAAGAGGGATCCACTCTGGAATGTTGGTAATAAAGGAACTTTAAGGAATTAATGAATAATGGAGGATTAAATTCTATTAGGAATTTAAAAGCCCAAACAAAAAAGGAATTAACAAATGGGCGACTAGTATTATTCAAGAATTTTGGTTTAATAGGCCTGATGCTACTAAATAAAAACGTTATCAAGCATTCTACAATTAATACAAAATAATTTATAATTATTTAAGTAAACATAAAAAAAAACTATTAATAATAATAATAATAATCAACTGTAGAAGACAAAATAATAATAGTTTATAAAATTTGATCATACAAACAGTTGTATCACTCTAAATTGACAAAATATATGAAATTTGGTTGTGAAAAAATTATCACATAAAACAAATTTTAGAACATTAAAACAAAAGAATTTGTTAGGTATTATTGATTTTGTAATAATCCCCCCTCCCTTCCCTCCCGCAGGTCCAACAAGACGAGCCAGGTCTCGGCACGAAGCCTGTTTGAAAAAACCCCAAAAGATGCAACGCTGGATTCACCCATGTTGCGCCCCAAATTTCCTAATCAAACATAAGTAAATTATTAATTATATTTTTAATTCGGCCAAAAATAAAAAAATGCTTACAGAGTTGTCTTAGATTCCATATGCAGTTGATAGGCGTTCCTTCAACTGTTGAGGAAATTGATCAGTAAATCTTGTCCAATTTTCTTCTCCTACTTGATTTTTGAAGCCATGTAATATCTAAATAACAATTTAAGTTTAAATATTTAAATATAAAATTAACATTTATCTAAGTAATATAAAATAAATAATAACTTTGTAAAACATATCCTTTAAGTCATCTTTAGGATTGATCCATGAAGCAATGGCATCACAAAAGAATATGAAATCTTGAACTACTCCACCAGGATTTAGACTTATCATTTGACACATACCTCTAAATGCACTGTCTTTTTCATCATTGTCTCTGATATTACGTAATGAAGTACACCTAGAATAAAAATAATATTAGCATTGCTCAAAAAACAATTTTTAATTGTTAGTCAAAAATATTTATATTAGTAAATAAGACGCACATTTTGTGTCCCCAAACCAATATGTATGTAATAAGTTTATAATTAATCGATTAAAATAATAAAATTATAAATATAATAAACAATAAAAATATATTATAAATAAGTAATAAAAAAAGTAAAAAAAAATAATTGGTACACACCACATGCGTACAAACTGTTGTAACAGCGGGGCGACGTCTTGAGGGCACACATAACCTAGTCGGCCGATTGTAATTGCTATAAAAAAAAAAAACAAAAAAAAAACGAAAAAACTAATAAAAAATAAATCCATCAAATAACAAATAAAATAGTAAACCATAATAAGTATACAATATTTTTTTTTAAAACAAAATAAAATTAATACACCTAATATCAAAACTGATGTCTACAATCAAAACCTAAGAGTTAAATAATATTGTTTAACATTTATTGAAGAAGATGATTGATAATCCATGACGTAAAGCAATAATATAACCAAACTAAACTAATGTTAATGGTTATTAATTATTATCATAATATTATATTATAATATAAAGTACATACATAATACATTGTATATTTAAATAAAATATGCACAAGTGTTTAAAATTTAAAATATTTTATTTTCTGTTTGTTTAATGTGTGGTTAAAGAGAGAAAGTTAATAGTTTTAATTATTTTGCGACTTGGAATTATTATTAACAATTTAAATTATTTTTATTTTAGATGATTGGTGATGAATATATGTATAAATAAATATTATAGTTCTAAAATGATTATTTTAGTTATTAAGTACTTATTACATAATATTTATGTACATTTAAAAAAGTGACTACACTATCAGTGATCACATTTTTGGATGTACTCCATAAAATATTAGACATTAAGTTTGTTAGTTTAATAGTTTACACACCAAACAAATGATTACGTACGATAAAAAAATATATTCAAATGAGTAGCAAAACTTATTCTAGAAATAATAATTTTAAATGTACTTTAAGAGGACGTCACACCTGCATGTGCTGTCTCCGTCTTACAAATGTACAATATAGCAAAAACTGTTTTGCGTGGAACAACTTTTCTCGCACCATATTTGTTGTAGAACTACCAAATTTTGACAACACGTAAAAAAGAACTTTATCTGTGTTTTTTTTTTAATAGCACTGTCCAATCATTTTTCATAAGCAAATGAAAAAACAAAATGTTTAGAAGCAAATAACTTTTATTGAATTTATGTTATCTAAAATATAGGCACGCTGTTGCATAGATAATTTTCTACACTATATGTTCAGAAACTTTAGAGCCACTACTACAAACACAGACAGACAAAAGTTGTCCAGCACAAAACACCTCTTGCTACATTGTACATTTGTATGACGGAGACAACACATGAGGGTGTGACTTCCTCTTAAAAATGTTTGACTTACAAAACCATTTAACCTATCCTAACCACATTAGGTTAATGATTAATAATCGAGGTGATTTAATAAATATGCTGAATGTTTAGGTATCTAATGTGAAATAAAAAATTTACAAATACATTAAACATTTTTTGTAATTAAGATGATTTTAAAAGTAGAATGTGTAGGCATATAGTTCTTCATCACTCTTTGGCAATATATAATCTATACATTTATTTTATTTTTAAAAAATGTAAAGTATAACAAAAATATATTTATTTGAGTAATTAACATATTAATGTACTCAGAATTTATTCATATTTACCTGTATTTTCTAGTAGAGTTTTAGGTGTATTTGTTCGATTCATTGTTACTACTAACTGATTTAAAATGATTGGTACATATGGTTGCATTTCAGTACCTATAGTAATATACAAAAAATTAAAAATTATAATTTAGCACAAATCTTCACTATGAATACTCCTTTTTTCCCTTTAACTATGAATTTACTCAAATTCTGATCCATGACGTTTTTAAATATTCTTAAAGATCATATTTTTAAATACTCAAGAATTTTTATGCCACTAAAGGATTGTCCAGAGGTTGATATAAACTTTTTTTCAAATAAAAACTTATTTTGATGCATCTAAATCAAAATGTGTACTAGCAGATTTTAAGTTATTTAACTTTTTGTATGTACTAAGGATAAACCAGCCTATGTTAAAAGGTATGAAAAATATGGAGCATAACATTATGATGGTTTAAAAAATAAAATATTTAGTATAA